ATATATATATATATATATATATATATATATATATATATATATATATATATATATATATAATCCCAGCTCAGATAGTAAACTGCCTAATTCTGTCTTAACGACTCGCCCTCTCACTAGATCTGTTTGCAAATGGAGGCGGCCATTATGTATCCTGACTTTAATTCAGGGTCACGAGCTAGCGGGCTATCATTAGCAAACATTTTACGACTAGCACGTATGTGACCGTATTTAACACCCCATGACACCTTTGCGTTAAGTTTTTTTTTTATACGGTCTGGTGTTAAATTATAAATGGCTTAGCTCATCAAATCTAACTATTCTAAAATAGTTTACGTGAGCAATTAAATATTACGAACTAGTATATGAATATACACAATACATGGCATACTACACAAAGATTTAATTCTTAAATCAACGAAACATTACCCAACATGTATTAGGGTGCATTTATGAAAATTCCTACGTATTGAATATTCAATTACATGCAATCTTGTCAATTTTCTCAATGAACTGATAACAGAGAATCAAAGAAAATGTGACTAACATTTCACTAAAACCCTGAAAAATGCAATCATACATACATACATTATAACATCAATACATTTGTAAACAAATCAACAAATGAAATAGTATATTGAAATCTGGAGACTAAGATTGCGTACTTTTGCCGTTTTTTTTCACGAACTTACCATGTGTAGTCTGTTTACTTTCTGAGACGACTAACTCGCCTTACTTCAGTCACATGGGAACGTACTACTTGCGTTCGTCCCTCGGCATCCTGTCTGACTTCTTCCAAGTAAGATTGAAGACTGAAGCAAGTTTGCAAAGTAAAGCTATTTCTTCTTACAAGAGTTACGCCCTTAAGTTAATAGTATCCAATCAGAATCGACTGATTCCTAAAATCTCTTACGTAGAATATTTGATTAACAAGAATAAGCTAATCATGCCGCAATTAACTTTCCTTTGAACAATCAATTATTGACGTTCTTTACCTTTTTTACCGGTAGAGTTCGGAAGTGTTAAGCCAAAACCTTTGTACCATAACAGATGACTCGGTCAAGTTTCGTGATGCAAAACGAAGTTTCCTTCGACGTTCAGAGATGAAATAAAAATAATCACATAATTGTCGCTAGCCCTTTCTACTTTAATTAAGTTAACTTTGGTACAATTCGTTTAATCAATACTTCTAAGAGTTTCAAAATTCGACACATCATAGAATCCTGTGAAATTTGACTAATCAGAGTTTAATTTCACATTTCGAGCAATGTAACGTTGTTACAACGGAAGAATGCATGAAATGTCGGATTTCAATGCTCGTAGAATAAAAACGTTAAGAAAGGTTTTCTTGAGAATTTTAATCATAATCCGGTTAGGTTTTTGTTTTAAGTGGTACCATACGATCCAATTGTGTTACATTTAATTAACTTTAATACAGCTTAGCTTAACAAACATTTTTGTCGCTTCAATGAACGTTCAGAAAATCTCTACTTTATATCATTCCTATCGTTTTACAACGAAGACGAAAAAGACTTTTTCGCTTGACATATTCTTATATACTGCAATGAACATGAAATATTAAAAGAAGTATCTTTCGCCATTTATAAAGAAATAGCAACTGCATCTTTTACTTATCATTTGTCAAGGAAAAAGTATTGGATTTTCACGAATTCTTATGATAATTTTGTTTGATTTAAAGTGTACACGCAAGAGAGCATTTGAGACAAATATTAGCAAGAAGTACACACTGAACTTGCTTGTGTATTGGGCAAATTTTAAATCATTCTTTCTTTTAGTCACAGGAATATATATATATATATATATATATATATATATATATATATATATATATATATATATATATATATATATATATATATATATATATGCTTACATGGCATTTGTCGTTTTAAAACAATTACTAATATGCATTTTCAAATATTCATTAAAAGTACAAACTGCTCATTATTAACCTTTTGGAGAAAAACACATCGTTTGGATTATTGAGAACACATTCAAAGACATTCTGTATTACACTAGTGTTGTCCATAAGAACATTCAAGATTTTTAAATTCATTCAGAACAGTCTATACGTTTGGACTTGTGATAGAACATTAGGATTGGTTGGGATTTAATTGAAAAATACTGCAAGTTCCTTTAAACTTTTAACATTGTATTCGAGGCAAATGAATTGCTTGTTAAAGTATACAAAAACGGTTGGTTTTGTTTCTTTCTGTTGCTTAGTTTAAAACCATACAGTCATAACAGAGGAAGGGGGATGGCACGTCCATAATCTGAATTTTAAAAATGGCCTCTCTCTATAAACTGACTTTATTTCAGAATTTTATTTGCAATGTTTTTAATTAGGCACATTTGCGAATATTTTTTGCGACAGCAGGATGCATTCCCAATGCTATCTAAAGTCAAGAATTTTGTCTGAAATCCTACCTACAAAGAGGTAAGGTCAATGGAAAAAGGAGGAGTTGCTTGGGTTTCCCAGACATTATGATTTTTCTGAAGCGAAAGCATCTTTAGCTAAACAAGATATAAATGATATTTTGATTCAGTATTTAGCGGGAAAAGATGATACTGCATTAGGTTTGAGAGAGAGAGAGAGAGAGAGAGAGAGAGAGAGAGAGAGAGAGAGAGAGAGAGAGAATTGATTTCGTCTCTCTGGAGCGTAGAAAGTGAATTTAACTGATGGAATAATCAAAAACCTAAGCAGAGATTTATAATAGAATAACAATAACCGCCGTATGCAAAAACAATTTAATAATTTATATAAACAAAATGAAATTGAACATGACATTTAAATGAAATACTTGCTCTAGAAATAAAATAACCAAATTTATTTGAAAAATATGCAATTAGCCGTTCTGTTTATACCGATAAAACAAATTTCATCATAAAATCTACTGATCGATCTAAATGCCTTTGCATTCCTTCAAAACCTGGTTGCTTGCCGGTCCTTCTAAATTTAACGTTGGTGACAGGTTGGAATAAACTTATCCCCTCCCTTCCTTTGCCTACTGTATGGATGTATATATGAAGATATTTTTCTTTCAAAATAAATAATAGATGACCTAATTATTTTGCAGTGTTTTTTTTTATTCTTGTGTTGTAATGTGTGGATTATTCTCGCCTTTCTGTGATAGCTTAACAGCCGTACGAATACCTTTATCTTATTCGGTACACGCTACCGAGCAAATATAATTGTACGTAAATTGTGTAAACGGTCGCTGTGCGAATAGTCTTTTTCACATTATGTACACTGCAACCGTGCATATATCCTACATTATTTAAGGTACACGGCAGCCATGAGATAGTTTCAGCCTTGGAACATAGATATAAAATCGTATTAAAGACATGATTCCAGCTGACAGACGAAAAGATCATATAAAATATGCTTTTCTCTTCTTTAGGGTTAAAATAGTCATTGAGGTCGTGCGTTGAGATCGTCTACACACCCGAGTACATGATTGAGTACAAAGTCACCAGCGACACAACAAAAGCTTACTGTTAAAAAAAAATCAAAGCAGTATTTAGGGTAAAAAGTTAGTATTGTTACTCATGGTGACCTTGATCGAAACGAATATGGATTCCACTAAACCGAAGTGGAGTAGCTATATACAGTTTGCAGTACAAGCTGTTTTTTTTTTTCATTATGCTTACTGTTGCACTTGGATATATTTATATCCAGTATGATCATTTAAAGGAGCTAGAAAAGAGAATGGCGACGATGTATATAAAAGTTGATGGTACTGAGTTGGTGATTATCAAGACGGTACATACCTTGTTGAAACGGAGTGAGGGAATAGAGGCAATCAATGGTAGGTTGGGAATCGTGGAAAATAAAATGAATGAGCTTTTCATGCAGCATAAAGAATTTGTGTCCGTCAAAGACAAGACTTCAAAGTAGCTGAAGCAAATTGATGCGGAATCCCAAGTTATGGAGCAGGAATTCGGGAAAATGAAGAACATTTTAGAGAAGGTTCGCGAAGAACTTGAGAACACGGATAATTTGTTGCAGAAGTTAAAGGACAGTTTGGCTGAAGTTTGTAATCGAAACACATTTGTGCTGTCCTCACAGCAAATACTTCAGGCTCAGTAGGATAAAATTACGACTGAAATTCAGACAGATGCCAAAAACATTTAATCAAACAGAATCTGACTTGAAACATCTCACCGAAAAAAAATGTTCAAATGAAGTCTTCTCAAAGCAGTGCGATCTATAACGTGGGGGAAATACAAGAAGACATAGAGGAATATATCGGCTCACGCAAAGACGTTCTGGATAAACATTCGAAGGCTATTGAGATAGAAAAAGGAAATATCAAAAATGTTCAACAACACTTCACCGCCAGCGATCGTTGCCTGACTGGAATCGTTGCACTAGATCAGCCTGTTTCTAGCGATGAGGAGAGGCTCCCGAAAGTTCAGTTCGATACTCAATTCTCGTCTCCACCGGTACTATCTTACGGTATCGTGAAACTAGACACAAACACGTTGTCTGGTTCTAGAGTAAGGGTTAGTTTAAAGGACCAATCTGGGATTGAGTTTATTGTCAGCTTCACAACGTGGTTAGGAAATATTGTTTACGAATGAGTTATCAGCTGGATGGCTTGTGCGAGATCTTAAAATAAAGTATTCTCCACTTATCACACGAGGATAACTAAATGTAATGCAGTTCTTTTAAAGAGATGTTGAAGACGGAATCTTTTGTGAAACTTGGCTGATAAGAATTTAGTTTTATTATTCGATCTGTGTAATGTTACAACAGATGGGAATACAATATCCGATTTCAATACTTGTAGAACAAAACTTTAGGAAGATTTCTTGAAATCTTTAACTAAAATCCGGCCAGACTTTTGCTGTAAGTGGTACCAAACGATTCAAGCATAGCACGCATCAGGAACATCAATACTGTATGTTTTATCAAATAATATAACTTTAGAGAAACGGCTTAAACAATAAACACCTTTTTTGTATACTTTTTGTCGGACGGCTACGGTGGTCTAGTGGTTAGAGCGTTCGCCTCGGATGCGGGAGGTCGTTGGTTAGACCCCGTCGAGTCATACCACAGACTTACAAAAATGATACTAACAGCTGTCTTGCTTGGCGTTTAGCATTAAGAGGTTAGTGTAAGGACTGGTCGGCCTGGTGTCAGGATAATGTGACTGGGTGGGACATCATTCTACATGTCTGCGGCATGATCTGCCACACTGCAGACATCGTAGCGATATGACTAAAAATTGGTAAAGCTACGTTAAAAATCATAACCACATCACATCATTTTCTTGTTGCTTCACAGAACGCTCAGACCTAAAGGTATTTTGCGCCATATATACTGTACATATTATTATATATTGTAATGAAAATGAAATATTAAAAGAAGTATATTTCGCCATTTATAAGGAAACAGCTACTGCATCTTTTATTTTTTATATATCGAGGAAAAAACTATAAGATTTTAACGAATGAGTATTATATGTTTTATATGATTTTATATGTAGATACAAGAGAGTAATTGAGAATAATTTTTGCAGCGCGTATATTATATACCTTTTGATCGCGGGTAATCAAACAATACGGGTCTTCTTTCTAAAGCCATAATGAAATGTACTCATCAATTTTGATAGCAGATGGAACCACAGAAAAAAACATATTCCGTTAATATATATATATATATATATATATATATATATATATATATATATATATATATATATATATATATATATATATATATACAATTTATACTGCGTTCCTGACTTTTATCTTGTTGATGATTTTGCCTATTTAATTTTCGTCAAATTTTAAAGATACCGACAAAATTATGAGTTCAAGATCTCAGCTTGTATATGAGCTTGTAATGTTCTGGAAGCAAACTTGCTGCCTGCTTGATGAAATGTTTTGTTAGAAATGACCCACATCAAGTGAATTCAAGAGTATTCTGAGTCATAGGTCAGATAACAGGTTGTATGTTTATAGAGGCTTTGAAAGAAAATATTCGTTCTTTCATATCAATGTTTGGGAATTAATGATTAAAGTTTATTGTGTTGTTCAGAAACAATTTGAGAAGAATTATATATTTCAAATATTCATTGAAATTACATAGTGCTCATTTACTTTTTGCATTAAATACTTTGGGATTCTTGAGAACTCATTTAAAGACGTTCTTGATTCCTACAATATGGTATATCAGACATTCAATATTATTGGAATTCATTCTTTACTTGGACTTGTGATAGAACATTTAGAAGTATTACATATTTAGTAGACAATACTGTAGGTTCTTTTTAAATTCTCACCTTGTACTCTTGGAAAATAAATTGTTTATTTAATGATACAAATATTGTTCGTTTGTTTCTTTCTGAAACTTATCCTAAGACCATAGAGTTTTTAAAAAAAATAGAAATTGTCCGGGATCTGATTTTTATCAATCTGGACCCGAATGGTCTAAAGCGCTTACCGTTACGGATCATTGCCATCTTACCTTTGCCTTATATATATATATATATATATATATATATATATATATATATATATATATATATAGATATATATATATATATATATATATATATATATATATATATATATGTGTGTGTGTGTGTATATATATATATATATATATATATATATATATATATATATATATATATATATATATATATATATATATCCGGTTTTGACGTTACCAGAAATATTAGGTTGTATCCATTTTCGAATAAAGGAAGCATATAAATACTTTCATTATTTTCATCGTGAAGTCTATACTTCATTGTCGGTACAACAAAGTGCTGACTATGATGTGGTTAAGAAATGCATCTTGAATTGTCATGAGTTGGCACCTGTCAACAAAAGGTTTAGGAGTGTATTTTTTAAACTGGCCAAACACCGGTCGTATTTGCAAGGGGGTGCTGATTGGAGGTGCTCAGCCAAATGTTACGGTCTAAGGACTTAATTTATGTAACTAAGAAAAAAACGACAACGTGAACAAATTAAAAATACCTTAGAGCATATTCCTATTCCCAAAATAGACATATCAATTCCAATAGATCCTTTGGTATTCAGAATGATAATTATAATGTACTTATGTGCTAACACCACCCTTGTTCTTTCAACTTATCAGTATCCCAGGCATTGCCTTTTCTCTCTTTCACTTCTTGTTCCTTCTCACCGCTCATATTTCATTTTCCCCCACTTATATTTGTATGTGTTGGCACAATTTAAGCTTCTTTTCGAAACTCTTAAATTCCAAGTTCCAAACTCTTAAAAATTAATAAAATCTCACGAATTACTTGGAGTGACTTCCCTTTATGAATCCACTTCCACACACCCCGGTCCCATGTACCTATTTCACGGTGCTTAACTCTCATTATATGTGGGCACCTCTTTGTTTAACACTCTTCTTTATACGAGGGCCCGTCGCAAGCTTCCAACTATGTTCGCTGGCAGACTTTTATGTGTCTCCCCCCATGTGTCTGAAAGGTTATAAATAATTTTATGTTTTTGTATACCCCATAGGTCTGTAGAGTTGTTTTTCTGTATATATTCCAAATAGATTTTTGTCTTCATGTATTTTAAATGAGGGTCTCAATTTGACTAACAAAGATATTTTCTCTAACAAAATTTGACAAATATCCATCATTTGAACTTGTATATACACATGCTGATATCATTTAATATCATTCCCAATAAATATTATATATGTGCATACTTGGTGGAAACTTTTTTTTTTTAAATTTCATTAAAATTTTTATAACTAAAATTTTCTTATTTTTAATTTCATTTTTATATTTTTATAGTCAATATACATAACGTTAAATTTCATGTGTCCATCATTAATAATAAAGATTTTATATCACTTTAAACTTTACTCAAATGCAGTGCTCACAGGCCATATAATAATTAATTTTGCTATATAGTCTCTACATTTAGTTCTCAAATACTGAACTTTCCAGTGTGACACTCAATACAAATAATATGTTAATCTAAAATACCTTAGATGACTTTACGGTTAAGTTCTTGTCAAGGGTTGAACTGCATTTTTTGAGAGGCTGAATTGTAAACAAAGCACCATGCAACGGAACACAGATATCACTTCTGAGTCATCACCATGGCCTTATTACTCACTGCGCTGTCGCCGAAATACATACAGACAACCACACCATAAGCTCACATTCTAAAGAATAAACAATAGCCTTTAAATCCTTACCAAGAATGCCAAAATCTAACTCTTGTATCACAATCAAACGGAGACAGGGAACAGTGATCTAAAAATAGACTGGGACTACTGATTTTTTTAATTGTGTACTGAGTCCAGATATGTCCTTCCGGTACTCTTTAACACGTTGTGCTCTTTCCGGCACTGCACCTCCACACAAATTGCTGATATCACACTAAACGCCTACCACGTACTCCACGTCTTATCCCTCGTCTCCGATCCTTGAATGCCGACTCTAACACCCACCAGGAAATCTTCCTATGGAATTAGAAGGGACATATATTGTTGTCTACTTGCTTTAATCTCATGAGTATTACCCACACTCTCACAGACTTTTCATCAAATACACGGCGAATAAATTAGCAAGTCAACTCACGCACTCACATCTAAATATTCTATGCACGCTTTGTTCTATAATAATTGTGCTATAAAATTATTATCAACGAGTTCAAATACATGCATACACATTACTAATTGTGAACTTATCGATATAGTAAACTATCACCATCAATAGCAATTATATTCATTTCCTACCCAACGAATTATAAAAGACATAGAAATATACAAACACCTAATTATGTGTGCATAAGTCCAACATTAACTAACTATGCATAATTCACAGTCTATATATTCATATACTGATAAAGCAAGTACAAATTCTAACACAATTCTTTAATAAACTCAGCTATGCATTAAGATGCATCATAGTAAATTACACCATCCACTTGGATTCCAGTCTAACAATGTACATACGATAATCTTGCTTGTTAATAATTCGGTATACGCTACGTTACGATATGTTGATCATTCAGCTGTACATAGAAGATTTCACTTCTAATAAATAAGATGTACATCATAATGTATCAATCTTACAACAACTAGTTATGAAATAATATGTTACCTCAAGAACCTTTGTTCGCAAATCCAAAACCTAGAGTTTGACTAGAATTACTTCCCGCCATTTAACGAGAGCACAACTCGTCGTACAGTCTGAGACCTCTCAACTTCTCTATCATCCACTCCTGGCGAGGTTCACAAATGTACCGGCTAAAAAATAGACTTAATCATAACATAAGGGAGTACTTATTGAGACTCCGCCCTTGGTTTGAAACTCTCATTTTTGATTGGATACGGTCTGGTCTCTTTGAAAACTGCCATGGGTTAATTTAACACCTACTTGTTTCTATAGGGTTTCCGTTTATCCCAAATTCCCAAACATTACTTCCAAGACGCTCATGACATCATTGACTGACTGGTTGCAAAAACAAACGTAGGAATGTCTACATACTGGGCTAGGTGGTAGAATTTCCTTTGAATTGACCGGTTGTTGCCTAATGGTTAAACAACCGACAGGCAGTTTCTTGGTGTCCGGAATCGGGTCTATCGTCATAATCTTACATAAAACATATTTACCTTATCCCATATGCTCTTAACTACTAATTAACTATAAGAAGATATGTGTATACATGAAGCATGAGGCATCAGCAAATGTTACCTCAAACGTGACACCTCCACTCTTGAGAATAAAATCGGGATTTATTTACCTAAAATTTGCTCTAAAGTTCGAATATGTGTATTTACACGCAACACGAATAGAATGAAATCTTAACGAGAATACAAAGCAAACTAGGGACACGAATACGAACAGTTCGATATCTGATAATCTTACAGATATAACTTGACAGTTTCGGGACTGTTACTCGTGAAATACGCAGCCACGTTCTCGATGCTCTTAACATATCTGATCTGCAGTCGGTACTGCTGTAAGAACAGCAACCGCATCATCAGGTGTCTATTGGATAGCTTCACCTGTTCGAGATCCGCGGGTGGCTGATAGTCAGTCTT